GGCACTGAATTTCAGAAATGTTGCAAATCCCCTGTGTTTTTGGACCCTGACCCCGCGGATCTGCGTGAGGGGTGGCGCTCAATTCCAGAAATGTGGCAAATCCCATGGTTTTTGGACCCTGACCCGGCGGATCTGCGTGAGGGGTGGCACCGAATTTTAGAAATGTGTCAAATCCTTTGTGTTTTTGGACCCTGACCCCGCGGATCTGCGTGAGGGGTGGCACGAAATTCCAGAAATGTAGCAAATCCTTTATGTTTTTGGACCCTGACCCCGCCGATCTGCGTGAGGGGTGGCGCGGAATTCCAGACATGTGGCAAATCCTTTGTGTTTTTGGACCCTGACCCTGCGGATCTGCGTGAGGGGTGGCACCGAATTTCAGAAATGTGTCAAATCCCATGTGTTTTTGGACCCTGATCCCGCCGATCTGCGTGAGGGGTGGCACGGAATTTTAGAAATGTGGCAAATCCCATGTGTTTTCGGATCCTGACCCCGCCGACCTGCGTGAGGGGTGGCACCGAATTTCAGAAATGTGGCAAGTCCCATGCGTTTTCTGACTTTGACTTCGCCCAGGAGGGCCTAGGAGGCTCCAGGAGAGCCCAGGAGAGCCCAGGAGGGCCCAGGAGAGCCCAGGAGGGCCCAGGAGGACCCAGGAGGCTCCAAGAGGCACCAGGGGGCCGAGGATGTCTCGCGCGTGCCGCGTCCCGCGCGCAGGAATTTGGATGTCTGGGGATGTTGACAGGATGTCTCGAGCGAAACGCTGGTTTTTCATAATTTGTTGAGGATGTCTCGAGCGAAACGCTGGTTTTGCAAAATTGTGGGATGTCTCGAGCGGGGGCCTCGTGGGGAGCCAGGATTCAGAGGATGTCTCAGGCGAAATGCTTGTTTTCACGTCCCGCTCGCAGGAATTACAAGGATGTCTTGCGCGTGCCGCGTCCCGAGCGTAGGAATTCGGATGATTTTGACAGGATGTCTCTAGCGAAACGCTTGTCCCCAGCACGTTCCGTAGCGCGTCCCCTCGGCACGTCCCGCGGTGCGACCCCATGGCACGTCCCCTGGCACGTCGCCTGGCGCATCCCTTGGGACGTTTCGCGGCGCGTCCTCCTGGCGTGTTCCCCTGTCCATTAGCTCTGGGGCAGCTACTATGTGTTCAGGCAGCTCGAGCTTAAGATCCAGATCAGTTCGGTCAGAACTCGGATGCAAAGGAGGACTCTATCCACGAGGCTATAGAGCACAATCGCGCCATGGCACATCGCAATTCAGCACGGCGCAGCACAGCACATATTTCGGCACGGTACATCAAGATCGATACATTCAGCATTGCAACTTGGCACGTTCCTTGGCACGTTCCGTGGGGCGTCCTTTGGCGAGTCCCCCTGGCACGTCGCGTGGCGCGTCCCCTGGCACATCCCGTGGCACATCCATTGGCACGTTCCGTAGCGCGTCCCCTTGGCACGTCCCGCGGTGCGACCCCATGGCACGTCCCCTGGCACGTCGCCTGGCGCATCCCTTGGGACGTTTCGCGGCGCGTCCTCCTGGCATGTTCCCCTGTCCATTAGCTCTGGGGCAGCTACTATGTGTTCAGGCAGCTCGAGCTTAAGATCCAGATCAGTTCGGTCAGAACTCGGATGCAAAGGAGGACTCGATCCACGAGGCTATAGAGCACAGTCGCGCCATGGCACATCGCAATTCAGCACGGCGCAGCACAGCACAGCCGTCGGCAGGGTACATCAAGATCGATACCTTCAGCATTGCATTTGCCCGTCACCCAATCAGGTGTCTGTGAAAATGCTGCCATGTGTTACAGTTCTATATTCCTTTCCGGGTTCGTGGGTCGATCATGTTCCCGGAAAGGGCGTAGGCCCAGGGTTCTCTTTTAGTAGGTGAACCTGTCCCCGGTGCCTCAACTGAGGGGCGCTGGCGGATTTTTTCCCTGGTGAATATCGAGGTCGAAGGGCGCCAGCGGATTAAGATTTGAGGATGTCTCGAGCGAACCGCTTGTTTTTCAGAATTTGTTGAGGATCCTGATGCCCACTCGCGCTCCGTCCTGGAAGGAGTTTGCTTTCGTTCCCCAGTCAGTGCCTGCACTGAAGAGGCGCCACAGCGGAGGCCGAAGAGAGGGTGGGCGAGCGTTGCTGGCCAGATTCGGGGGGCGGCTGGGTTCCCGGCTCCCGGCTCTGGGTTCTTGAGGAGGGGGAAGAACACACAGACACATTGAATCGTCGACTCCCAGGAAAAGATTGGGAAACTAGGGGAAGTGGGGGGGAGGACGAAACTCCAGAAGGTATGGGAAAACATGGGGAATCCTGTTATGTTTGTGTGTATCTATGTGTGTGTGTGTGTGTGTGTGTGTGTGTCCCAGGGCCCCCTTCAGGTCTGGGCAACTCCCAGAGGGCGGCGCGGCTCCCGGTTTCCAGGCTCGCGGATTGCCGGCACTCCCAGGTGGTTGGGTGCCCGGGCTCTTGACCGCGTCGAGATGCCCGGGTCATCGTAACCGTGGCCAGATCGAAGATCGAGAGAGTGGATAGCAGAGAGACAAGAGAGAGAGAGAGATAGAGACTTAGAGAGAGAGAGAGAGAGTGAGGGAGGGCCCATAACCTAGAGCACACATACCAGAGAGTAGACATTATAATTGAGCACGGAGGGAGAGAGAGAGAGTGGGAGAGAGAGAGAGAGAACGAGAGAGAGAGAGAGAGAGTGAGACAGAACGAGAGAGAGAGAGAGTGAGAGACAGAGACAGAGAGAGAGTGGAGGGACGATACTTAAAGACTATAGGGTCCAGAGGCCCGCTAATGAAACAGAGAGAGAGAGAGGCAGAGACGAATTATATATACGTAGCACCCCGCAATTGCGGATAAGAGTGAGGGGGCGGGCGCGGGCGACGCGGGCGTCGTCGAGCCGGCGGACCTCGTGGCCCCCACCTTCCTTGTCGATGGCGCTCTCCTCCACCTCCTCCTCCTCCTTCTCCTCCTCTTCCTCCTCCTTCTCCTCCTCCTCTTCCTCGTCCTCATCGTCATCGTCATCCTCCTCCACCTCGTCCTCCTCCTCCTCCTCCTCCTCTTCTTCCTTGTCCTCCCTCTCCATCCCTCGTCTTTTCATCATGGTCCTCCCATTGTCGTCCTCCCCCTCATCGGCCTCCATCATCGTCCTCCCATTGTCGTCCATCATCATCATCATCCCCATCCTCCCCCTCCTCGTCCTCCTCTTTCCCCTCCTCCCCCTCCTCCCCCTCGTCCTCCTGCTCCTCCTCCTTTTCTTTCTCCACGTTCTCCTTACACCCTCTCTTCTTCCACGTTCTCCTCGTCCCCTGTTTACTCATCCTGCCTCCCCCTCCTTTCCCAAGATAACTGCAACGCAATCCTTTTTTCCACTTTATGCTCCCCGCCTTCTCTGATCAAGGCAACTCGCCAGGGCAAAGTTGCTGGACGGGCTGGCGTGGATGTGCGGGGCGTGAAGAGGTCCTTGCGGGCTCAGACGGCATGCAAGAATCCGCCGCCGCGCTTGTGCGGCATTGGTTTGTTCAGTGAACGTGGTTTAGGTCGCGGGTGGGTCGCGGGCTCTCCACCTCCACCTGGAAGGAATGCAAAAGCAGCCCGCCGCAAGCGCCAAAAAAAATGGTTCGTACACGGAACGAGGTTTGGGTCGCGGGTGGGCCGCGGGTTCTCCACAGGGAACGAATGCAAAGGATGCCCGCCGCAGGCGCCGAAAATGTGGTTTGTACCCTGAACGTGGTCGCGGGTGGGCCGCGGGCTCTCCACCTGAAACGAATGCGAAATATGCCCGCCGCAGGCGCCGAAAAATGTGGTTTGTACCCTGAACGTGGTTTGGGTCGCGGGTTGGTCGCGAGTTGGTCACGGGATGTGTCGCGGGCTCTCCACTTGGAAGGAATGCAAAAAAGCCCGCCGCAGGCGCCGAAAATTGTGGTTTGTACCTTGAACGTGGTTTGGGTCGAAGGTGGGTCGCGGGTGGGTCGCGGGGTAGGTCGCGGGTGGGTCGCGGGTGGGTCGCGGGTGGGTCGCGGGTGGGTCGCGGGTGGGTCGCGGGGTGGGCCGCGGGGGGGTCGCGGGGTGGGTCGCGGGTTGGGTCGCGGGGTGGGTCGCGGGGTGGGTCGCGGGGTGGGTCGCGGGGTGGGTCGCGGGTGGGTCGCGGGTGGGTCGCGGGTGGGTCGCGGGGTGGGCCGCGGGGTGGGTCGCGGGTGGGTCGCGGTGCGGGTTGCGGGTGGGACGACGACAACAAACAACAACAACAACAAACAACAACAACAAGAATCCGCACCGCGGAATTCCACATCAGCCACGCACCCAGGGACAGTGAATGACCGTTCGGCCCCCTCACTCTGACATATATATATGTATATAGATATGGAAAAATAGAGAATCATACGTGAGGGCTTGCGACCAAGGTCTTAATGATCGAATCGAGAGAGTACATCGCATACCATCGCATATCGTCGAAGCGTATCGCATATCATCGCATATCGTAGATCGAGAGTACCATGTATAGTTGAGAGTACACCGCATATCGCCCATATCATAAAACAGCATTGAGTAGAGAAGGGAAAAATGTGCGTAGGGAGGACGAGAGAGAGAGTGTGAGAGAGACTTAGCTCATATTCGAGAATAGGCAGTCGAACGAGTTAAGAGGGGGACGAGGTACACCGAACGTATCAGAAAACCCACTGGTCGGGGGTATCCCTGGTGTAAGGGAAGCTTCAGGGTTGTAAGCTGCAAGGACGTCTAGAGCGAAACGCCCTGTCTGGCCAGCGGCCACTTATGCTAGGTCTACAGCTGGGGAGGTGTTTGTAAGCTAGAGGGGTGGACGAGAAGGAGGCTGAGGAAGAGGAAGAGGGATGGGGGAGGGAGAGGACATAAATGGAGCAGGGGGGCAGAGGAAGCGGGGGAGGAAGTCCCTCCTTCTGGTGACCTCGGTCATCTCTCTCTGCCCCTTCTGTATTCGCCCCTCGTCCTCCCGAACACCGCGCGAGCTGAATTCAGTAGGCCTGCATGCCACCGTGCCGCGTCTGGCAAAGCCAGGGGCGTGCTGCATTCTGGTGAAACTAGGTCACGGCTTCTATTTGTGTCGTTGTGTCAACATGTGGGCATGTGTGTATGTACGCATACACATATACATACCTACGCTCGTGTATACACACCTGGCTATACACACGTGTTGGTGTATGTATGATTGCATGATATGGTTGCGTGTTTGGTCCACTGATTTCTTCTCCGCTTTCCCACATCCTACGTGGATATCTTGTTTTCTTTGTACACCTCCGCGCAGGATCACTTCCCACCCTCCCCCCATTCTCTTCCACCTCATCACCATCACCATCGCAATTGATACCGCACTAATCATCAAGAGTACCACCATCCTCATCATCATCATCAGCATCAGCATTGTCATCATCATCACACATTCATTCACAAACACATGCACACTCATACACACTCTTTTTGATCTCATCATCACCGTTCACCATCACCACCAACCAATCACCACTCACCAGCACTCCGTCATCATCACTATCATCACGCACCAATCGCTACCACCACCCCATCGTGATCATCGACCAAGCGTGGACCTCGTCTGTAAGATAATTGGGAGGAAGTCTCAGGCGGGAGCCCCCTTCCCTATGGGGTCCGCACTTCATGTTGGCAATCCAAGCGGGTCATCGGAACCCTGTAACTGTCGTCGCTTCTCAGCTCATTTGGATTGATTGTGGAGGAAGTCTCGGGCGGGAGCTTCGTCTGTGAGTGAATTGCGAGGAAGTCTCAGGCGGGAGCCCCCTCATGGGGTCCGCATGTCACGTTGGTAATCCGAGCAGGCCATCGGAACTTTGTAATTGTCATCACTTTTCAGCTTCTCTGGAGTGAACATGAAGGAGGTCTCAGGCGGGAGCTTCGCTTGTGAGTGAATTGCGAGGAAGTCTCAGACGAGAGTGTCTTCCCTATGGAGTCCGCATTTCATGTTGGAAACCCGAGCGAGCCAGCGGAACCTTGCAGTTGTCATCACTTGTCGGCTCTTCCGGGCTGAACATGGAGGAAGTCTCAGGCGGAACGTTGTCTGTGTGCGACCTGCGAGGAAGTTTCAGGCCGGAGCCCCCTGCGTATAGGGTCCGCGCTTCATGTTGGCAATCCGAGCGAGTCATCGGAACAGTGCACTTGTCGTCACTTTTTCCATTTTCCCAGGCGGGAGGATATTTTCCCAGGCGGGAGTTTCCTCCGTGAGCGACCTGCGAGGAAGTCTCGGGCGGGGAGCCCCCTCCCCGTGGGGCCCGCACATCGGGCGCGGCAGGGGGCGCTTCGCCTGCGAGCGGATCGCGGGAAGGTCTCAGGCGGGGGGGGGGCCTTCCTATCTTGGTATCGCTCGGACGTGTGTATTTTTTCCCGGCGGGAACCATCGAGGACAATCCTCGACCATCTGGCGCAAAAACCACGCACGAAACCGAAAAATGCACAGGGAATGGACGTCCGAGGCGATGGCCAACTATGGGGCCCGCATTTCATGTTGGCGAAACGAGCGAGTCATCGGAACCTTGTAAACGTTTGTCACATTTCGGTTTTGTTGGATTGAATATGGAAGAAGTCTAAACGGATGCGGGTGCTTCGTCGGTGAGTGGATCGCGAGGAAGTCTCAGGCGGGGGGGCCCTTCCTATGGGGCCCGCGCTTCACGTTGGCAATCCGAGCGGGTCATCGGATTTGTTCTAAGTTAGGTTATTTTCCGGTTCCTCTGGATTGAATATGGAAGAAGTCTATTGCGGGGGCTTCGTCGGTGAGTGGGTAGCGAGGAAGTCTCAGGCGGGAGGCCGTTGTCATGTGACCCGCACTTCACGTTGGCAATCCGCGCGGGTCATCGCATTTTCCTAAGTTTGGTCACTTTTCGGTTCCTCCGGATTGAATATGGAAGAAGTCAACTGCGGGGGCTTCGTCGGTGAATGGGTACGAGGAAGTCTCAGGCGGGGTGGCCCTTCTTATGGGGCCCGCATTTCATGTTGGCAATCCGACCGGGTTATCGGCAATCCCCACCAAGCATCGCATGTGAGCACCCAAAGGGGCACATCACGAGGCGTTCCTCACGTGTCTGTGAGTGACTTGCAAGGGAGTCTCATGATGGAAACCCCTCCCTGGTCGCAACTCGCTCGAGGAGTTCGACAAGAGACCGGTGGATCCTAGGGCTGAGGTGGAACAGTTCGCGGCAAACTGGACTTCGTGCTGGATCCCGCTTGCACGCGGCCGCGAGTAACTCGGTGCATGCGGGGTTGTCCCAGCGGCGTGCTGTCGCGCCCCAGTTGCTTGCGGAGTTGTCCCAACGGCAGTTGCCACGACGGCTTCGCGATTTTGCCATCGGAGAACGCGCCTCTGCCGGGCGCGGCGGCGAGGGCACCGAGGAACATCGGCATGCGCCCCCTTGCAAGGAGGAAGGGAAGGCGCATGAGGAAAACAGGCGGGATGGAGATGAGAGGGGGCGGCGGGAAGGAGGAGGACGTGGAGGAGAAGGTGGAAGATGAGGAAAAGGACGAAGAGGAATACGAGAAATTGAACAAGGAGAGCGGGGAGGAGGAGGATACGGAGGACGAGGAACACAAAGAGGGGGAGGAGGAGGAGGAGGAAGAGAAGGAGGAAGACAGGGAACGCAACAGATGACGACATGGGGGGTCGGCCAGGACGAAGAGGAAAGAGCGGTGGGCAATCTAAATCGAATCTCGCGCGGCGCGTTACCGTCGGAGTGATGCGTCTTTCCCTTCTCTATACACGCACACACACACATATATATAGATATATATGTTTATATATACATTTACATATACATATACATTTATATATATATATATATACTTATACATATATATGTACATATATACATGCATATATGTATTAGATGGTTGGAACCGCTTCCGGCCTATCCCACCACTGCGCCCGGCGTGCGGGTCAGAGTCCTCGAGGATGATTATTGGGGTTTCTTGGGGGCGCGCTTGGGGACAGTTTTTGGTGTTTCTTGGGTGTCCTTCGGGGGCCTCATGGGGTTCATTCGTGGGCCTCTTGGGCTTTCTTGAAAACCTCTTGGGCGCTCGCGGCGGCGTTTTGGGAGCGTTTTGGGGCCCTTCGGGGCCTCCCGAGGCCGAAAGAACGACATGTCCATTCGGGCGCCCCGTCGGGCCCCCTTTTGGAGCCGTCTTGGGAGCCTTTGGGGCCGTAGTTTTGGGCGAATGTTGAGCCGTTTTGATACCATTTCGGGCCGTTTTGGGGCTCTCCTGGAGGTTTCTTGGGCTGGGCCTCTTTCCTTGGGCGTCGGGAAGCCGAAAAGGCGATAACGCCCAAATCTTCCAAAAAATGCACACCAATCGCTGATTGCTGCCTCTTGGGAGGCCTCTTGTAGGTTTTTCGGGGCGTCTTGGGGGCATCTTCGGCCGTCTGGCGGCCATCTTGGGCGTCGTGGACTGATCGTTCGACGGTTCGGGGCTCTCTTCGGTCTTCTCTGGGACCTCCCAGGGTCCTCTTAGCCCCCTTCGGGGCACAAACTCAAACGACACACCCCCGATGGGCCTAGTAGCGCCCAGGACCGCCTGGGAAATTCGGGGCCCAGGGCCCTGAGGACCCCTCAAGAAGCACAAACTTTCTACGGGAAATCCCACAACGTGCCGAAGGCATGGTGGCGGATGTATACGTGCTTACATATATGTTTATATTTGTGTGTATATATATATATATATATATATATATATATATATATGTGTTGGCGTGTGCATGTAGAATTGGAAGTTTGTATTACGTACATATGTAATGTACATACATGTGTTATTTGCTTACTGACGTTTACATATGCGTGTGTACGTGTATGCATATATGTCGAAATCGCGCGTTTTCTCTCTCTCTCTCTCCCTCTCTCTGGCAATTTCTCTCTCTCTCTCTCTCTGGCCGTCCCTCTCTCGCTCTTGTACGAATTGTTGCACACTGCTTCTATATATATATATATATATATATATATATGATTATCTCTCTCCCCCTCCCTCGAGCTGGAAATCTTCGTGCTCATAGACGTATGTGTGTATACATACATATATATATATGCAGATGTGTATGGGTGTGTGTGTGTGTTGTCGAGTGTGTATGCATATCGATGTGTATATCTGCATATACCTTTATATGTGTATAAACATTTCTATAGATCCACAGTTGACGCCCTGTCCCTGCCCCTCTCTCTTCTCTCTCTTTCTCTCAATGTCCCTTTCTGCTCCCTCCCCCTCTATCCAAATCTCTCCACGTGCTTGTCGATTCGCGCTCTTTCTCTGTCTCTGTCTCTGTTTCTCTCCCTCTCTCTCTCTTTATCTCTCTCTCTGTCTCTATGTGTACATGTATATACACATCTCTCCATAGATGTCTCTTTTTCTCTCTCGCTCTTTCTCTCTCTCTGTCTCTGTTGGTTCTCTCTGTATCTCTTCCTCCTCCCTTTTTTATACAATATTATATACATCCATACACTTATATCCGTAAGGGCTTCGCCTCCGTGCCGCCGGTCCCCCTCTCTTAGAATGGGACTTGCCAGAGTTGTGTTGGGATGTCTGGATGTTGACGTGAGCAATGTCGAGGTTTCACGCAAGGGCCAATATTGGTTTACAAGGGCTTATGGCTTCGGTGGCGCCAGTATAGGTAATTGGCGATTGTTTATGGCTTTGGGGACGCGAGTCTTTTGTAATTTACTAGGGTTTGCGGCCTCGGGGACGTAACTATCGCATAATTTACGAGGGTGTATGGCATCGGGGGAAGCAATTATTAGATCATGTTCGAACGGGTTTATGGCTTCGGGGGCGCAAATATCATGTAAGTTGCTCGGGCTGGTGTAATTTACGAGGGTATATGGCCCTGGGGACGCGAACCTTGTATAATTGTTTGAAGTGTGTGGCTTCGGGGGCGCGAGCATTCCATGATTTACTTGGGTTTATGGTGTCGAGGGCGCGAATAGCGTTTAATTCACGAGGGTTTATGGTTTCGGGGACGCGACTATTGCATACTTTACATGGGATTATGGCTTCGGGGGCGCGAATGTCTTGTACTTTGTGGTGTCCCACGACCCCCTGGGAATTCAGAGCATGCGATTCGGGGACGCCAGCCAGGACGCTTTTCGGCTCCCCCCCCCTCGCGCGTTCAGCAACAATTTGCTTGAAGGCCCTGCAAGGGGGCAGGCGGATAGGCATGTATGAATATATTATATATACACCATATGTGCACACAGTTTTATACAATTCCATACATACATACATACATGCATACATGCATACATGCATACATACACATACATACATACGCATACATTCATACATGCATGCATACATACGTGTACAGCTATATGTGTGTATGGTTATCACTCTGCTCTCGGTCTCTATCTGTCTCGATCCCTCTCTCCCTCTCTCTCTCTCTACTTCTATGTCTCCCTCTCCATAACCCTCCTCTACGGGTCGTTCGCATCTTCTCCTGTCCCCTCGTCCCTCGATCCCGAGGGGCTTGGCACGCCCAATGCGGCGAAGCCACTCGCGCAGTTGCTCAGAATGCATCTCGCGGAGGGCCGATCGGGCTGAGAAAGTTCGGATACCTCATCCTTTACCTTCTGATGGGCCTGTTTCCCACCACCACCACCATAAGTTGAAGGGGGAGGGTGTCCTTCTCCTCCTTCTCCTCATCCTCGTCCTGCTCCTCCTCCTCCTCCTCTTCGTCCTCCTCCTCCTCGTCCTCCACCTCCCTTCCCCTCCAACTTCTGGTGGTGGTGGTGTTTGACAACAGGCCCATCAGCTTCATCATCCCTCATTCCTTTCGTCCGGATGCTTTGAACCCATACTCTTCCCGGGTGAGTTTGTGGGCCTTCTGAAGCATTCAGTTGCGCCAGTGCACGTGTGGCCATCTGCATGTTTGTCCACGATTGCCCACGTATGTTTGTTGAATCGGTTTGCTCATTCCGCCAGCCCGTATTGTTTCATCGCTGTCGTTTGCTTGCGCGTTCGTGGCCCATGCGGCGCTGCTTGGCGGTGGTCTTTTTCGGGAGGCGTTGGTAGAGCAGGCATTGAGGTGAAACAGTTGCTCTAGAGCTTGTCGTGGGGGTTCTGGCGTTCTACTGTTCCCCCGCCATGCCTGGGCTGTGGGTCAGAATCCTCGGAGATACTTCTTGGGGTCTTTTCGGAGCGCTTTCGGGGGCTTCTGGGGGGCAGTTTGCGGGCCTCTTGGGAGCGGCTTGGGAGCCTTTTGGGAACCTCTTTGGGGCCTCCTGGGGCTTCCTGGGGGCCTTTTAGGGGGCCTCTCGCGGCCTCCCGGGGGCCCTTTGGAGTCTTGGGGCTTCTTGGGGCCGGGGGCTCGAAATGTCCGCTCGGATCCCCCGTCAGAGCTCTCTCTTGGAGCCGTCTTGGGTGCCTCTTGGGCAGTTATTTTAGGCATCTTGAGCCGTCTTGGGCCCTCTTGAGCCATCTTGGGGCCCTCGTGGAGGCCTCTTGGGCAGTCTTGGGGCGATCTTTGGGGCCTCTGGGGCCGTTTTGGAGTGTCGGGGGGCCGAACAGGCGAGAACGCCCAAATCCTTCAAAAGATACGGAAACTCATATATGTTGGCCTCTTGGGAGTGCTTAGGGAAGCTTCTGCGGGCGTCTTGGAGGTCTCTTGGGCTGCCCAGGGACTACCTTGGACGTCTTGGAGCGATCACTGGGCGTTTCGGACCCCTCTTGGACCGTGATGGGGGCCTCTTGGGGCCCTCTTGACCCTTCTTGGGGCCACCCTGGGAGTTCTGGCGTCCTTGACCAGAGCATCCCAGGAGTGCCTCGGGGTATTGTTCGACCGGGACTCCCAGGGGCCCACGCGCGCGCGAATCAGACACATTTTAGAATTGTTACCAGAGATGTTAGTACGCCTCTGGCCCGTTGGGGCAGCGAATTTGCTTCTGTACTCCAATATCTGCCCACATGTACATTACAATTGCGCAAAGTAGGTGATGTGTGGCCAGAATTGGAACCGCGAATTTCCACTTGGGCTGACCCCCATACCTGGCCTCACCTCGCTCGTCCTGGATCCCCGGAATCCTTCTCAGACGGAACAGGAGGCGCCAAGAGGGTCCCAGGACGACCCAAAGGGGGTGCTGAGAGCGCAAGGTATCCCATGAGGGTCATTGATGCGCTTCGAAAGTAACCCTAACGGGCCATTCCTAGGATTGTCTTCTTTGAGGGACTCATGGCAGAATCGTGTTGTGCGAGTCTTGGGAGGCGTACACCCTTCTGGAAAAGATATGCAGGTTTTTCCAGGTCGTGCCAAAGCATCGTCTGGGGGACTTCGCTAAAGGTAGTTGTTCATCCCCAGTCCGTTTCTGACGTTCCCAGGGCCCGACAACTGCCCCCGGAGGCCGACAACGATGGAAAAACGAGGGCAACGAGAACAACCGAATCGACAATTGAAGTTGCAGTACTTTTCCAGGGCAGAGTAGAAGCAAACATAGGCGCATCTGGGGGGGTCGAATACGCGGACACATGCGTCGCCATAAGTATCGGGGGTGGACAGACCTCCTACCCTGACACGTCGATTGAGGAATTGTCCGTTTTCGGTTTGCGAGAGGGCGTCGGGGCCGTCATTTTTGCGGGTCCAGGTCCGTCGGTTTCGGCCCCAGGCCGTTTTCACTAAGGGTAGGTTCACTAAAGGGAGTCTTGTCCGCCGCCGAAAGTACCGTCGTTTCCACTGTAGCGTGCCGCGCTGGCGGTCCGCGTAAGCCACTGCGTAAGGTCCCTATGCCATCTTGCGTAAGGCCCGTTCCTTGTCGTCGCTCACCCGTTCTGAGCTCATCCAGGAGTCGGGTGTTGCGGGGAGTGCCACTGGCCCGAGGTGCCCCCAGGAGTTTCACGGAGGCCCCCTACAGACCTCCAGAGAGGCCCCCCGCAAGGCCCAGAGTGCCCCCAGGGGGCTCCAAAGTGGAGCGGAAAGCCTGGGGGCAGCTTGGGCCAGGGGCGGCTTTCGGCACTCACCGACAGGTGGCCCGCAGAGGAATCGGACGAGGAGGAGGAGGAGGAGGAGGAGGAGCCAGAGGAGGAGGAGGAGGAGGAGGAGGAGGAGGAGGAGGAGGAGGAGTAGGAGGAGGAGGAGGAGGAGGAGGAGGAGGAGGAGGAGGAGGAGGAGGAGGAGGAAAAAAGGAAGCCAACGGTGTATTCTCGCACTGCCGCAACCTCCCCCCCCCAACAGGGGCGCCGCGGCCCGCCGGCGGCCGCGGAGGGCGCGGACGAGGGCGACGCCGCCCCAGCGGCTCTGGCAGACGCAGGCGAGGGCGGCCCCTCGGCGGCCTCCCTGAATTGTCGAGGGCGGGCGTCGCGAAGGCGACGCTCGCCCGCCCGCTTGCTCTGTGATCCTGGCGTCTCAGTCTGCTCGAGCCGGGCGTGCGCTGCCCCGTCTGGGGCCCGGGGGCCCCAGGCATATCGATTCGGCTCGAGATCTGGCGCAGAAAGATCGGGTTCGGGGCTCCGGTCATGCGTTTTCTACGATGTTCAATTTTTTCCGCGCCGTCGGATCTCAGGGTAATGGCACGGCTGGTGCGACGAGCTGCCTGACCTGACTTCCTCCTCCCTCTCCCAAGCGTGCATGCCCATGCCAGGGGGCGGACTGGGGCACGTGCGCTCGTTCCCAGTGCCAGCGGATTAGGGAGATGGGTGAAGTTGCTTTCCGAGGCCACTCAGGTGCCTTCTTGGAGTAGGTATATACAGTCGCGTTGACAGTGGCGCCCGTGAGTCGTTCTGTTCTGTTCTCCACCGCCCCCTGCGCCGTCGTCTTTTTGGCTTCCCTGCGCAGGCCGCACCCGTGGCGTCGGGATCGGTTGCTCGCACGCGCCAGAGTGAGCACTGAGCAGGCACCTGCCATCGGGCAGGCAGTGTGGCTCTCGGAGAGCACTGATGGGCTGGTGGACAAGTTCGGCGGCGAGCAAGGAGGGGACGTGAGAAGGAGAAGGCCCTCTCAGAAGGCAGCGGGGCTTCTCAGAAGCCCTCCTGCCGTCTGAGAAGTTGTTTGTATCTTCGCGGAAGGCTCAGGAAGCTTCTCAGAAGGCCGGGGGATTTCCAAGGCTTCTGAAGTGGGCTTCTCCTTGCCACTTTCAAGCGGGCTCGCCGCCGAAACCTCCTCGCATCAGGGGCAAGCGGGTAGGGGGGATAGGGATAGGGCGGATGCATCCAATCCCAATCGCCCATTGATAGCCGATTGCCCCGGTCTGAGGAGGCTGCGCGGCGAGGTGGGCGAAGCGCTCTCGGCGCTCGCGCCACTGGCGGGGCATCATCCTCATCCTCCTCCTCCTCCTCCTCCTCATCATCATAATCACCATCCTCCTCATCCTCCTCATCAGCATCATCATTGTTATCATCATCATCATCATCATCATCATCATCATCATCATCATCATCATCATCATCATCATCATCATCATCATCATCATCAGCATCAGCATCAGCATCAGCATCATCATCATCATCATCATCATCATCATCATCATCATCATCATCATCGTCATCGTCATCGTCATCGTCATCATCATCATCACCGTCATCATCATCATCATCATCATCATCATCATCATCATCATCATCATCATCATCATCATCACCGGCACCGTCACCATCACCATCCTCCTCATCGTCATCACCATCACCCTCCTCCTCATCCTCCTCATCATCATCCGCATCCTCATCATCAGCAGCAGCATCCTCATCATCCTCATCCAAATCCTCATCTTCGTCCTCATCCTCGTCCTCGTCCTCGTCCTCGTCCTCCTCCTCGCGCGGCCGCCAGGTGACGCTCCGGGCGGCGCAGCCGCCGGCGGCGGCGCCGCCCCCGCGCAGCCCGCGGGCGCCGAGGCGGCCGCGGCGAGCGCGACGGCGGCAGTGCCAGCGAGCGAGGAGCCGGGCGGCGAGGAGGGCGCGGCGAGCGAGCACTCCTCCCTTTCCTCCCCTCCTCTCCCCCCCTCCTCCTCCTCCCCTCCTCCTCCTCCTCCTCCTCCTCCTCCTCCTCCTCCTCCTCCTCCTCTCTCCTCCTCCTCCTCCTCCTCCTCTCCCTCCTCCCTCCCTCCACCTCCTCCTCGCCGCGGCGAGGAGGGCGCGGCGAGGAGGCGGCGATAGGGGCGAACAGCCCAGGGGGAGCAATGCGTATATCCAGGGGCGCCGAGGGCCCGTGTCTCCGGCGCGGCTCTCAGAGGGATGCGCGCGCTCGCCCGTCCCGTCGCCGCCGACGCTCACGGGTCCGAGTCTCCGAAACGGTCACTGAGATTCTGGCGTCTCATCTTTTCTCGAGCCGGGCGTTCGCTCCCGGTTTCGGTCCCCGGGACTTTATATCTGGATCTGGTTGGAAGATTGGCCCAGAGAGTGGGTCTAGGGCGCGGCGAGCGATGACCCATCAGAAGAGGAAGAGGTACCCATACCTCTACTGTTCCCTCGTTCTCGCCTTGTTGCGCCTCCTTTGGGATGCCCTCGTCGCCGCAGCTGGGTTCGCCTCGAAGTTCTCGTCAGAACGCATCCAGGGTAATTATCGGTACCTGTTGGTTCCGCCAATCCAGAGATCACAGCTTCCGAAAAAGACAGGATGGACTTGGCATCGCTCGGACGTGTGCATTTTTCCTCGGCGAGAACCATCGAGGACAATCCTCGACCATATGGCGCAAAAACCACGCACAAAACCGACAACATGCACAGGGAATGGACGTCCGAGCGATGGCCAGATTGGGGAGGGGTTGGGGACTTCGGGGACCCCGTATCTACATTACTCCGACGGGCGGATCCCAAATCACACACGACAATCTTCTTAGCGTGCACGAGAGACATCACCAGCGACGAAGACGATTGAGGTGATGGCAGGATGCCAGGATACCAGAATGCGACTTCCGTGAATCGTGGGACCTGCGAGAGTTGTGCGACCTGTGAGGCTTGGTTGGACCTGTGGGGCATGTGGGACCTGTGGGACTTTCGAGCCCTGCGGGGTTTGTGAGACCTGTGGAAATTGCGGACCCGGTGGGACCTGCGGGACCCGTGGTACATGTGTGACCAGTCGGGTTCCTGCAATGTGTGGGACATGTTAGACTTGTGAGACCTACGTATGGAGCCCGTGGAGCTTGCAACCTGAGGGGCCCGTGGGACCTGTGGGACATGTAGGACATGCGGGTGCAGTGGGAGCTGGGAGCTGTGGGACCATTGGTCCTTGTTGTGGGACCTGCGCGACCATGCTAACTTGTGCGCGAGACGAGACCATCATAGGAACCTATGCGACCTGCGGGGCCAGTGTTGGGCCTGTTGGATCTGTGCGACCTGTGGGACCTGAGGGGCTTGTGAGACCCGTTGGGCCTGTGCGACCTGTGGGACCTCGCTCGGATTATTAACGTAAAGCTTGGGCTCCTGCTCGAGACTTCCCCCACGCTCATTCATAGACGAGGCCTCCGCCTGAAGACTTCTCCGCATTCAGGCCTAAAGTGACAACAGTCAGGTTTCCGATGACCCGCTCTCGAATTACTAACATGTAGTGGGCCCCTTTTGGAGAGAGCTCTCGCCTGAGACTTCCTCACGAATCACTGACAGACGAGGCCCCGCTCAAGACTCCCTCCATGTTCACTCACAGACGAGGCCCCTGCATGAGACTGCCACCATCTTCAGGCCTAAAATAGCCAAACGTGACCACAGTAACAGGTGTTCGATGGCCCGCTCTGATTACTAAATTGAAGCGGTTGGCCCCTAGGGAGGGGGTTCCAGCATTTGTTCTTCACAAGTGACTCCCAGATGAGGCTCCCGCTTAGGATTCCTCCACAGTCAGGCCTAAGGAGCCGCAAAGTGAAGACAGTGATAGGTTTCCGATGACCCGCTCGGATTACGAACCTGAAGTGGGGGGGGCCACAGGGAGGGAACTCCCACCTAACACCTCTTCACGCAGACGAGGCTCCCGCTCAAGAGCCGCTCAAGAGCCCACCCAACGCCTCTTCACGCAGACGAGGCTCCCGCTTCTATCCCAGATTCAGGCATCAGGAGCCCAACAGTGCCGGCAGTTACAGGTTTCCAATGGCCCTCTCGGATTACCGGCCTGAATTGGAGGGGCCATAGGGAGAGGGTTCCCGCCTAAGCTTTCCTCACAACTCACTTCTAGACGAGGCGCCCGCTCGAGGATTCCTCCATATTCGACCTCAACAGCCCAGAAGCGACGACATCTACATGTTTCTAAAGACCCGCTCGGATTACTAACATGAAGCGGGTGCCCCATGGGACGATGGCTCTCGCTTGAAGCCTCAATTGACTAACAGACGAGGCCCCCGCTCGAAATTTCCTCCAAATTCAGGCCTCAGGAGCCAAACACTGACGACAATGGCAGGTTTATGATGGCCCGTTCGGATTACTGACATGAAACGGGGTCCCGTAATGAGGGGGCTTCCGCCTGAGCCTCCCTCACAATTCACTCCCAGACGAGGCTCCCGCTTGACGATTCCTCCATATTCAGGCCTCAGGAGCCCCGAAGCGACGACATTTACAGGTTTCCGATGATCCGCTCGGATTATTTAGATGAAGCGGATGCCTCATGAGACCAGAGTTGTCGCTTAAGTGTCTTCACAATTCACTGACGGACGAGGCCCTCGCTCGAGACTTCCTCCAGATTGAGGACTCGAGCTCAACGTGAAGACTGTCACAAGTTTCCGATGGCCCGCTCGGTTTACTAAGGGGGGGCACAGGGAGGGGGCTCCCGCCTGAGACCTTCTCACGCAGACGAGGCTCCCTCTCAAGACTTCTCCCAGATTCAGGCTTCAGGAGTCCCACAGTGCCGACAGTTACAGGTAGGTTTCCGATGACCCGCTCGGATTACTGACATGAAGTGGAGTGGCCATAGTGAGAGGGTTCCCGCTTGAGCCTTCCTCACAATTCACTCACAAACGAGGCCCCTACTCGAGACTTCCTCCATATTCAGGCCTTGGGAGCACCAAAAGACAACAGTTAGAGGTTTCCGATGACCGGTTCGGATTACGACATGAAACGGGGGGGCCGTAGGAAGATGGCTCTCGCCAGAGATTTCCTCACACTTCACTCCCAGACGAGGCTCCCGCTCGAGACGTCCTCCATGTTCAGGCCTCAGGAGCCACAGAGTGAAAACGCTACAGGTTTCCGATGGCCCGCTCGGATTACTAACATGAAGTGGGGGCCCAATGAGCAGGGAGCTCTCGCCTGAGACCTTCTCACAGCTCACTCCCAGACGAGGCTCCCGCTCGCGTCTTTTTCCATGTTGGGGCCTCTGGAGCCCCAACAGTGACGGCAGTGGCAGGTCTCTGATGGCCCGCTCGGATTACGAGCAGGAAGCGGGGGCCCCATAGGAAGGGAGCTCCCGCCTGAGACTTTCTCGCACTTTCTCCAAGACGAGGCTCCCGCTTTAGACTTCTGCGTATGAGTGTGTGAGTGATTGAGTGCGTGTGTGTGTGAGTGTGTGTGTGTGTGCGATGACGACGATGCGATGACGATGATGATGATGACGTTCATGCTGATGCTGGTGATGATGATGGTGATGATGCTGTTGATGCTGACGATGCTGATGATGTTGATGGTGATGATGAGGATGATGATGGTGATAAGGATTATGATGACGATGATCATCATCATCATCATCATCATCATTATAATAATGATGATGTTGATGATGCTGATGATTGTTATACTGATGGTTGTGCTGGCGTTGATGATAATAATGGTGATGCTGATTGATATTATGATGATGATGGTGGTTGTGATGGTGGTGATGGTGATGGTGTTGGTGATGATGGTGGTGTTGGTGATGGCTATGGTGATGGTGATGGTGACAGTGATGGTGGTGCTGATGCTGTTGATGATGCTGATGATGATGATGAGGCTGATGATGCTGAGGATGATGACGATGATCATGATTACGACGATGATGATGATGGTGGTGATGGTGATGGTGATGGTGATGGTGATGCTGTCGGTGATGGCGGTGGCGGTGGTGATGGTGATGATGATGATTATTATCATCGTCATGCTGGCCATGATGTTGGTGATGGCGATGATGGCGTGGGCGTGTTCTGGTTCCTGCACGGGAGTGTCCAAAGGAAGGACTGACCCTGCGTAGGATGCGGGGAACATCAGGGCATCGCATGTCTGGGTCCGAGTCTCCGAAGCTTGAAGCGGGCGGTGTTTGGCCCTTGGGAGCCCTCAGCTGGCCCGGGGACCATCAAGAAACAGCTCAGAACGAAACGCTGGCCCTATGGGGAAAAGGTCATCCTGGCCTTCGGTGGTCACGCATCGAAAGAAATGACGGCTTCGAGGGCGCGGCGAGCGAGGATCGAGAAGTGGCGGGGAGCGAACATCGCTTACGGGGGCGAGCCGATCTGGATGACCCGGGGCTGGGTCAGGAGATCGCAAGCATGGATCAAGGGGGCGTGGATTGGCGACGGGTCCCGTTTCCAGGGGAAACCGCGGATTCCCGCCGCCGAGCGAGGCGGCAGTGGCCGCATTTTGGGCAGGGCACCTCCCCCGATCCATGGATTTGGCGACCGCGCGCCAAATCCATGGATCGCTACAGTCGGCCTGGATTAGTAGGTCGTCCCTGCCAGCTCAAGGGTACCCTTGTGTCCTGTCCCTCGCGCCACGTGCCCTCTTGCACTCCTGTGGCGATGTGGCCCTCGGAAGGGTCTTGTGTCCTCTCGCGTGTCCTGCCCACTCGAGGCCGACTGTAATCCATGTCTGCGCGCCCCCGAGAGATGAGCGACGCGAAAAAACGGGGTCGTCTGCGCCGACATTCGCGCATACAGCGAGCGGCTTGAATAAGGAACACGCACTTTTCAAAAGGGGCTCGGTCGTTCCTTGGGTTTGCATGCGTTCCGCTACCTTTTTGGCGGCGAGCCCCCCTGGTGTTCCTTCAGATGTTGGACGCGCGGGTTCATTTTGCCGATGAGGGGCTCGGCCGTTCCTTCGGACTTCGTAGACCTACTTGGAAGAAAGGGGCTTCGTTCCTTATTCATCGTTCCTTAGGTCAGGCCGATGACTGTCGGCTTCCCGCGTGGGGTGGTGCGTCAGCGCAACCCTCGTCTCCAATGGAGCGTGCTGCGCTGGCGGCCTGCGTACGCCACCGCGCAAGGCCGCCGTGGAATCCTGCGCCAGTCCCGCTTGTTCTCGTCGCTCAAGTGGCACGAGTTCAGGAGGGAACAACAAATCACAGACACAGTATCAGTGCCGTTTTTAATGCATGCTCCGCGTGCGGAGCATGTATTACAAATGCAGGGATTGAGTCTTAAAAACAACGGTGAGCCCATGCATATTTTTATCCATACATTAACCATGTACCAGAATCTTATATCAAACAAAATCCTATGTATTAAAACCTGCCCTGCAATCCTATGTGTGTCCCAGGGCCCCTCCACAAGAAGCCCTGTGCTGTCGGAGGCCTGTGCGCCTTGCCTGTTCTCGGCGCTGGAGCCCCCGGCCTGGCGGCGCCTCTCCGGCGCCGCAGGCGGGGGCCGGGCCCCCGATCTCCGGGGGCCTCTCCGGCGCCGGGGGCGGGGGCCCGGCCTCCAGCAGTTGCAGCGCATGCCGTGGGACGTATGGCACGAGCTGGAACTGCTCAGGGGGGGGGGAAACAACACACAGACACAGAACATGTGGGAACACATGGGAAGTGGGGGGGAAGACGAAAACCCAGCGCCGATCCGGGAGATCCGCCCGGCGCCTCCGGCAGTTTCGGCGCACGCCGCGGGACGTAGGGCACAGGCTGGAGCTGCCTATACCCATCGGAGGTGGACAGAACCCCCAACAGTGGCACGTCGATGAGCGAATCGTCCGTTTTCGGTTCTCGAGAGGGCGCCGTGGCCGTTATTTTCCAGGCTTGCGCCCGCCAGGTTTGGGCCTCAGGTCGTTTTCACCAAACCACGTTTTACTGAAGGGGGGTCTGTCCATCCCCGAACCCATGTTTAACCTGTCTATGACCTGTGAAGCATGGCATGCGCGAGCGTGAGCAGGAGCCACAATTTGTTGTTGCTCCCCTCGGGGAGCAGCAGCTTCTTTGCCTCCCGTGAGGAGGCGGCGGTGCCGCCGCCGCTGGCACGGCTGCGCGCGGGGGAGCCACAGGGGCTGGACTACGCGGGCCGCATCTGCGTGGCCTCCTGCCCCCGGGACGACGCCGAGGAGATGCGCTGCGGCCCGCGGCCGACGCGGAGCTACCGGTCCGAGCCCGTGGGCGGCGCCTTCTGCCTGCCCGACGACGCGGCCGTGCTGGCCGGCTCCCTGGGCTTCTTCGGCACCTCGGGGGCCCTCGAGGCCGCCCGCGGCGCCGCCGAGGTGCCGAGCAGGAGAAGTCAGGGGAGGCCACACGCATCCCAGGGCAGACGTACCCTGAAGAGGGGGCCTCGGGGCCCACCCCGGGGCGCCCGGCGGCGGCATTCTGGCGCCCACTGTGGCGGGAGCCGCGGCCGCCGCGACGACGTCTCACCGGGGGTTCCTCGTCCTGGGGGTGCGTTTGGCCCTTAATTCCCAAAAAGGTGCCAATGCCGCTACCCTCGCCTCGTTTCCGCCTTTTTGGGCCTCCCGAGAGGCCCCCGTCACCACCGCCGGATTCGCCCCGAGGTCCCGGTCAGAACGCACCCAAGGGGGAGGTCTGGGGAGTAACCGTATTGGTATTTCCTGGTGCCCCCAGAGGTGCGGAAGGCGTGGTCGCTCCTAGCGCTGTCGGCGCTGGTCGCCGCGCTGCTGGCCTTCGCTTACTTGTTCTTCGTCTACGAGTGCGCCCAGTCCGTGATGTGGGCCGGGCTGCTGAGCATGGTGCTGCTCCCGGCGGTGGCCGCGGTGTACCTCCTCTCCGCCGCGACGAACGGCGGCCTCGACGCGGTCCCGGATTCCGGGGACGGCCAGAAGGACGCGGCGCTGGGCCTGCTCCTCGGCGCCCTCGCCGCGGGGCTGCTGTGCCTGGCGTGCGCGCAGAGCAGGCAGGTGCAGCGCGCGGCCACCTGCCTCAGCCTCTCGGCCAAGTGCATCACGGAGATGCCCTCCCTGATGGTGGAGCCCTGGCTCGCCGTGCTGTCGCGCAGCCTGCTGCTGGCGGCGCTGACGTCGGGAGGCCTGCGGCTGCTGTCGTGCGGCTGGTACCAGGGCGACGCCAGCCTGGCCCGGGAGCCCCTCGCGGAGCAGGCGCTGCCGGGGCTCAGCCAGCTGGAGTGGGCCTTGCTTGTGCTGTACATCTTCGCGTCGATATG